GTAACTTGATGACCAATGTATTCCGGGAATATTTAGACAAGTTTATGGTTATTTATCTGGATGATATAATTTTTTATAGCCAGACTCTTGAGGAGCATGTTGAGCACCTTAGGTTGGCTTTGACAAAGTTGAGGGAAACACAGCTGTATCTGAAACCGAAAAAATGTGAGTTTGCCCAAAAGGAAATCTCATTCTTCAGGCATATTATTTCTGCGGGTGTGGTGAAGATGGACCCAAAGAAAGTTGAGGCCATTGTTGATTGGCCTGTCTCTACCAAGGTTACAGAACTGAGATTTTTCCTTGGTTTGACAAATTATTATCGAAAGTTCGTGAAGAATTATTCAAAGAAGGTGACTATGTTGACAGATCTTCTAAGGAAGGATAGGACATGGAATTGGTCCTACGAATGCTAGGAGGCATTCGATTGATTGAAGGCGGTGGTGACAACTAGCCCAATTTTACTGTTGCCTGATTTTAATTTGCCTTTTGAAGTCCATACAGACGCATCAGAATTTGCTCTTGGAGGGTTGCTGGTACAGAATGGACATCCGGTGGCATTTGAAAGCAGAAAGTTGAATGATACCGAGGGGCGGTATTCTGTGCATGAAAAGGAGATGACGACAGTCATTCACTGCATCAATGCGGGGAGGCATTACATGTTGGGAAAGCATTTCCTGGTGCTTACAGACAATGTGGCTACCAGTGCTTCAATTCTATGAAGAAGCTGACACCAAAACAAGCAAGATGGTAGGATTTTCTTGCTCAGTTTCATTTCATATTGCAGTACAAGCCTGACAGTGCAAATCAGGTTGCTGATGCCCTTAGTCGGATTCCAGTTGCTGATGGGGCGATGGCTGCACTTAGTCAGATTACCGGAGATATCTTGCAAAGAATTTAAGATCAGACAAAGGATGATCCTGTGACCAGCTTATTGCTGAAGCAGGTCCAAGAGGGGGTGATCGACGGTTTTGGGTAGAGGATGGTATTCTCAACGCCAAAGGAAGAAAACCCTATGTTCCGAAGTCAGGTGGACTTCGACAGATGTTGCTGAAAGAAACTCATGATGATTTGTGGTCAGGACATCCAGGGTAGCAACGGACCCTTGCCTTGCTAGCAGAAAGTTACTATTGGGCCCGTATGGAAGCAGATGTTGAGCTGAATGTGCGCACTTGTCTAGTGTGCCAGCAGGACAAAACAGAAAGGAAGAAGGTGGCGGGTACGTTGGAACCCTTTCTTATTCCAAGCAGACCTTGGGAGAGTGTTTCCATGGACTTCATCAATGGCTTGCTTAAGGTGAACGATTTTACTTCGATATTTGTGGTTGTAGACAGATTTTTGAAGTATGCCACTTTCATTGTAGCTTCAAAAGTATGCTCTGCTGAAGTTACTGCTCAGTTGTTCCTCAAGCATATTGTGAAGCTTTGGGGTCTTCCACTAGATATAGTCAGCGACAGATACACTCGGCTTACTGGCTGGTTCTGGATGACCTTATTTGAACTGTTGGGCACATAGCTCAACCTTTCCACCAGCAATCACCCGTAGATAGATGGGTAAACTGAGCGGGTTAATGCAATGCTGGAGGAATATCTCAGACACTATGTCACAGCGAACCAGGACAATTGGGTGGATTTACTTGATGTAGCCCAATTCAGTTATAATTTGCAGCAAAGTTCTTTCACCTGAATGAGCCCATTCGAGTTGGCAACCGGCCAACAACCTCTTATTCCTCACGAAGTTGCCAAGCAGAAGTCTCAAGGGAGATGTCCTACCACATACCGCTTCGCTCGGGCCAACCAGGAGAGGGCCGACGAGGCAAAGGACTGTTTGTCTAAGGCGGTGAAGAGGATGAAGAAGTGGGCAGATGAGAAAAGGAGGGCAGTTGAGTTCGAAGTGGGTGACAAAGTGATGCTGAAACTGATCTCACCAATTTGGAAGAAGATCACTCGGAAATTTGCACATAAGGACTGATCCAACGCTATGATGGCCCTTTCCTTATCACAAGAAGGATTGACAGGTTGGCGTATGGACTGGATCTTCCCAGTCGTCTCAAGCTTCATCCAATTTTTCACATTACCTTCTTGAAGCCATACGTTGAGGACCTAGAGAACCCTAGCAGATATGTTTGGCGTCGGGAACCTCCAACAATCAGGAAGTAATTTACAGAGATAGCAGAAGCTATTTTTGACCACAAGACTGAAGGAATGAGTAAGAAAAATAGAAGAACTCATTACCTAGTCAAGTGGAAAGGGAAAGCACTGGAGGAAGCCACTTGGGAGAAAGAGACAATATTGTGGCAGTTCGAGGATCTCATTAAGTAGTACCATGCCTCCATTCCAACGAGGTCGTTGGATACTTCAAGTGGGGGTGGCTTGTCACACCCTAATTGACTTGGGTGCATAATGGTGGTCTTGGTGGCACCTTGCACCAAGGCACGCCATGCGATTGAATCAAGGTGATGCGGCTAAGCGGTTCGACAGATTGGTGCGGACTGTGGTACCATGAGACCACACGGCTGAGCAAGGCAGCATATGGTGGGCTCAATTGAGGCAATGTGGGTGCATAGCTTCGAATTGCATGGCATGGGCTGAACCCAGTATGCACAATGGTTCGTGAGGCAAGGTTGGCTACTGAATTTAGACACCTGACTGGCACATGGCTGCTTACTGCATGTGACCAGGAGGATGTGGGCTGTTACAGGCAGTTGCTGAACAAGGCTTAGTCTGTGGGAAGCAGTTCTGGGCGTTCCTAGCTAGATTCTGGTCCAGATGCGTGCTAATGAGGGGCAGTTTCACGTCAGTTACTGAATGGATGGAATTGCCAACCCGGTGTTGTACAGAGATCAAGCTTGCTAGCCAAGTCTGCTATGGAATAGCAGAATGTGGGTAACTATCCTTTGGCAAATGGGAGTGTCATCTGCCATAATCTTGTATAACTAGGAGTGCTTGAGCATTCTGATAGTCAGAGAGAGTGTTCTGACTTTGAGAGTTTCTTGTAAATTGTTGAGTTCAATATATATGGTTTGGGAGTGTTGTTCCAGTAAATTCGTGTGTGCCTTCTGTGTGAGTTTCTGTTCCTTGTTCTTGAGATTGAGTGGCTGGTTGCAATAGCAACGTCTTCACAGGTAGCTTCGAAACGAAAAACGAGTTGTTACCCCGTGACAACAAGCTATACCTCATCATACAACAGTGTAGTGAGTTCTAGCTCAACATTTCTTCCTCTTCTATAATCTTGCTTTGTGTTATGAAATATAACCGGGCAAATCAGTTTAGTAAGTTCAAATCAAAACTACTTGGGAGTGGCTACATGTATATTCAACTAATTAGCAATTATTCTATCCATCCAATCATTCTACAGACCCCCTATTCCGTGATATTCAAGAATTGAATTAATTAGCAATTACTTTCCAAGAAAAACTAATTAGCAGATTTTAGAGGAACCAATTAAAGACCTTTGAGAAAAAATCTCACTCACTGTAGGTGGAGAGAGTCTTTGTATTTGACATATATAGAAAGATTACAGAATGTATTCTGCCAAATTAATGGATATGTATTGTAAAACAAAAAGATAAGAAGGAGATAGGATAAGATGTTATCTATACGTTAAGCTGAATTTAAAATCCAGTCTATCACCAATTTCATCTCAGAGCGAATGATTACTGATTTGGTTGCAGAATAAATAATAGATTTAACCAAAATCTGTTCACAATAACAATTATAATAGAGGAAAAATATTTGTATCCACATGTATATATTATATCAAAAATAAAAGTAATATATTAGTAAATAAAGAAGGATGTTATGAGCTAACATGTGTGACCCTGGTGAAATATTCTACATAACTATCTTGAAAATAATAGACCTATGTTGAAGATATTATTCAAAGTTTCATTTTTTGTTGGTACACAGTTTGTTGACCAATGGAAGTAATAGAAAACTTGAGGCAGCATATTTCTAATCATTGATTATATTATTCTCATGTGGTGTTTTAATGTCATTGAAGTGCATGAAGATGTTCTTAAAAGTTCTCATTTCCTTGTAGTTGTATCTCTTGGTTTTGCAACTTCAATAGACAGAGCTTTCGATTTTTTTTCTGTATCTGATTTTTGAAATTGAAGACACGCAGCAAATGCACTCCAATTTTGTCCTGATTTATGTTGAATGCTGCACTTGTTTGTTGTTTCGTTCTCTAGTTATTGTTGTGATTTATGCAGGAAGGACTATTCATGTCATGACATTTGAAGTGGGAGCTGTGCTTGAGGATGTGAAATGGCAAGCCCCTGCATATTGTTTTGAGAACAAAGATGTGGCCATGCCGAAAGCAGTCTATGACGTAGATATCGGTGTTCAAGAACTTGTAATGGATGGAGTTCTGAGAGGCTCAATGCGGTTCTGAATGCAATATTTTGCTTGTAATGTTTGTGTTTTATCAAAATAAATTCTTTACCAAGCAGCTCACTATATTTAACACTAACACTGAAGTCAATTCAAAATGTTATGTACAGAAATCCTTTTTCCCTGTTTTTCTGTTTCAGAGGCTTTATTTAATCTTAGCATTGTCTACGAGGGGTTGATCTAATAACGTGTGCGGGGGGAACCACATTATCAAATCCTGTCAATCTCTTGGGATACCTATATAGACTATGTTCTGGAGTTACCCGAGTCTTGTGGGTGGTCATGTGCCCGGGGTTTTACTTATTTACTTCATGCAGAAATTTCTTTGAAGATTTGAAGTCTTAATAATAATATCTATCTTTTTGTACATGTTAGTCCTAAAGATGTTCTGCTCCAGACTATGATTGATGATGCATGGCTTGCAATCTATCTAAGTCAATTAATTAAGTTGTCTGGTAGGGACCATGGGAGATTGTATCAGCTAACCACCTGTAGCATCACTTCACCGGCTATCGTAATGGTTCTTCATAATTGTGGTGGAAGAAATTATAATTTTTCGCGTGGAGTCTGATTATGTAGTTTTCATGGACTTTATTGTGAAGCAGAAGGCGGCTTATTCTTATGGATGGTATTCCTGCACAATGGCACGCTGCAGTCATCGAATAATTACATGGGAGACAATTCCTGATTGTTAGGATGATGCCATAATTATATAATTATACTGGTTGCCTATAACAACCAATATATAGGAGGAACATAAAAAAAAAAAAAATTGAAGTCTGATTTTCACATAGTGATGCTGTGTCTCCATACAATTCCAATACAAAGGGAAACTATTTACTACTGAGTTGTACATTTGCTCGCTCCCCCATCTCAAATCACCTGCTTTACTCTATATTGATACCGTTGTGCTGCATACAGGAAAGCGCAGAAATTGATGATACTCAAAGCCGTAAGAAGCCAATAGAAGTAGTCAAACCTTCCTGTATTTATATTCTGGGATAGCCATGATGGTTGCCTTTTCTCTGCATTCCCTGTTACAGATTTGATAATGCTGTTCAATATAGAGGCTGAAAAGCAACCTAAACCGCCCGCTACAGCCGCATAAGCTGAACCAATACTTCTCATGGCATCTGGGGCCTCCTCATAGAGGAATTCTAGCAATCCCACAATGCAAAATACTTCGGCAATCCCTATAAGGCAATACTGGATCAACAACCAGTAGGCACTTAGATCGGGCATGGGAGTTAGAAAACTAACTTCATACCCATGTTCTATTGCATACTTTCTTCGGTACCTCTCAAAAATCCCACCCCATGCCACGGATAGGATTGAAACCGCCATTCCAATGCCTACCCTCTGAAGTTGAGATGCACCACGAGGATGACCAGTAATGCGCCTGGACAGTGGGACAAATACAGAGTAATAAAGGGAGAGTATAAGAAATATGCTGAGGCCGGGAAAGACTGGCATGCACGTGACAGGAAGTTTCAGGTGACCAATGTGAGTATTCAGTGTATATGCCTGCTGTACCGAGAGAGTCAAAAACTCTGTTAAGATTAAATTGAGCAATATAGTGCAGGCTGGAATTGGAATGAGTTTCACAAGAATTTTAACTTCTTCCACTTGGGTCACAGTGCAAAGCCTCCAAGGACTTGGATCAACACTGTCTTCCTTCAGTTGCAGAGCTGCTTTGTCCAGACATCTGCAAAGGCCAAAAGTCTCAAATCATATGAGAATCATGTGAGTAGAGAGAGGGATCTTTAGTGTATATTGAATTCGTTGTTTCATTTCACAAACAGATTTCATAGGGTTTGTTTCCTTTCTCATACCAATTGCATGCACAACTTAAATCTTGCCTATCAATGTAAGGCTGTGCACAAGTAATCTAAAACAATGACACAAAAGCTCATAGGAAACAAGTCCCATTACCTGAAATCATCACTGTGAGCTATCTTGTTACTGCCCTTTATGGCAGATACTTTGCCTGGAACCTCATATAGGCCTACCAACTCACTGCTATCAAAAGGGACCTTTCTCTTCCGAAAGGCAGCAACTAGGACTTGTGCAACTCGTGTCAAAGGAGAGCCTCCAGGCAATCTGTGCCTGTATAAAGGAGTACCAAGAAAGAAGACCATGTTTGACATGCCCATAGCTATGGCTAAGGAACCAAAAGCAGAGCCCCATCCATGTTTTATTTGAATGTAGACCACGGCAGTAAAGGCTACAATAGCCCCAACGGTGACAGAAAGGTAGAAGAAGTTGAAAAATCTGTCTAGGTGAGCCCTGTAATCTCGACTTCTTTCATCAAACTGATCAGCCCCAAAAGAAGATACACAGGGCCTAATACCTGCAGCACCAAATCCAGTCACATAGAGTACAGTGTAGAGGTAAAGCATCTGCCACGGTTTGGCAGGTTCACAATTGCCCAAAAGTAGAGCAATCTGATCACACTGATCTTTGTTTGGCATAAAAATGTTCATTGTTGCGCATAAGGTTATTCCTGTCAAACCCTTCATACAAGAAAATGAGAAAACAAGTAGCTCATATCAGAACAAAACAATTCACGCAAGCTAAGGTGAAACGAATGGGATAGTACCAAGAAACTGCACCTTCGAAAGCAAAGCATGCGCAAGAAGATAAATGTAAGTGATCTTACCGCAAGATAGATTGTTGTAAAAATTGCTATTGTCCAATATCGACCAAGATATGCATCAGCTAAAAAACCACCAAGAACAGAGGATGCCTGGGATATCCCCAAGAAATTGTTAACTGCATTTGCTGAACTTGAGAATGGTCGATGCATAACATAGAACATAAATGCCACCATATTTACAGATAGCCCAAAATAAGCCATTCTCTCAGCCATTTCATTCCCTGGGAAAAAAATAGAATGACACTTGTTCACTACCGGAATTGGAATTGGATCTTCACATCCCAAGTTGCTTACCAGATGAAATGAATACCAAATCTACAGTGCAAAACTTGTGAGACTGCTAGTTTTCACAATAGGAAAGGTCGATGAACATAACTTCATCTTTCTGAACAAATATCACTGGATGGTATTGAAAACATGACTATTAATCCATTCAGCAGTTCATTTATAGTATAGCTTTATATATATATATATAGCTAGCGATGGTTATTGAGAAAAATTTCTTAGAGCGGCTGGGCTGTGGCTTACCAAATATGAAGAAGGCGGCAATCCAACCACCTGTCTTGGACAAGTCGGCAATAGGCTTCCCACGGATGTTAACCGGAGTAGTTCCCCCTGTATATCCACCTCCCAAAGCTGTTCGCCTGTCATCAGACTCCATGAAATAGATACCAAGCTTCTTTCTCCGAGATGACTCGGAATTCACATCAAAACTTGCTGGTGTCTCAGGCAGGGTTTCAGGTGACTTGATTTCTCGGGTGCCCATCCCTCAACTCAACTCCTGCAAGCCTATCTATATATATGTATTAATATGCTTAATTACAACAGTAGTACTCAGGACTGATTTCAGTAATCTCCTACTACTCTTATATATGTATATATAGATATATCTGCTTACAGCTAAGGAAAACAATAACATTCTTCTATATTATTATTGTTATGGTTGGAACGTTTAAAATTTTGACAACTGCAAATCGTAAAACTTATGAAAGATCATATTCCGTTTAGCCACATACTCATGGTTGGCCCATCTTACCAGTAAGATCAGCGGAACTCTGAAACCCAAGTTATAGGAACGTGTGTGCGACAGTTCAACAGCTTATATAGAAGATCAAAAAATATAGAGAGTGGAGTAAGTGGGGGTGCACTGCAAGGTTTAAAAGGATTCAACAGCCAAACTTGATTACAAGAAGTAAAGCCTGTTCAACTTTTTAGGTGGGTAATAAGGGACTAAATGACATGCTTAGATACATATAATTGATATAAGAGTAATGACTGATAACAACAGCAATAAACGAGTGATCCAACCAACACGTGAAGGGGCCAAAGATCAGTAAGAGTAAGTGTCAGTGCTTTAACAAATTGAACCAAAAATGATAAAAAAAAAAAAAAAAAAAAAGAGTTTATAATTAGCTAGTAGGCAACATTTAATGCCACTACCTATATAGGAGGTGGTTGTAGGTACAACGCCATTCTTCACAGCCGACCCCATTCCATCTCCCTTATACCAGCATTAAATGGGCCGACCCATCAATCACCTTCACTAGTTCACCGACTTATCAGTCATCTTCATTTCCTATTTTCTTTGGGGACTTGAGCATTTACACAAACTTCAGTTACCAAAGAGATAAAGTTCTTAGCAGCAAAATTTGATCTAAAATATTGACAGTTGGCATTATTCCATAACGTTGTTGTAATTAAATTATTAAGACTTTTTAAATAAGATTACAATATCTTTCAGGTCAGATTATTATTAGATCCTAATAATATTACTAATTAGGAAACTTTGAAAGATAAGAGAGAACCTATATTCCTTACCAGTCATTATCAATTAATTTGACGGCTAAACTAGTTGGTCCCTGCTTGAGGAAAGAAGCATATTACACTTTCTCCTTAATTTCTTAGAGTTCTTTATTATACCTCTACTTAGTTTTGTGGTACCATATGGAAAACTGGTCACTGTAAAATGCTGCAGATTTTACCATGCGTAAAAGTGAAAGTAAAAGTAAGGCAACCGACTTCACCGTCACTTTTTTATATTGTTTGCATATATCAATTGAGGACAAAATTAAAACACCAATAAAAAATTTACAATAGAAATAGACAAAATTACAATATCAGTGAAAAAATTACAATAGTGAGAAATTTACAACTGTAGCAAAAAATTTATAATAATAGTGAAAAAAATTATCATAGTAGTTAGCAAAATTACAACATCAGTGAGAAGTTTACAATAATAGTATGCAAAATTACCATATTAGTGAAAAATTAACGCATCAGTGGCAAAATTATAACATCAGTGAACAATTTACAATATCAGTAGGGAATTTACAGCAGTAGTAGACAAAATTATAAAGAGAAATAGTATATTTGCAACACAAATGGGTAATTTTACAACAACAATAGTTAACTCAATGGATACGAATTTACAATAAAAGGGGTCGAAGGTACCAATTACCACATTGTGGATGAGTTAACACAATTAAAGATATGTATACCACTAGTGAGGGCGAGGTTACAAGAATTGCGGACAAAGTTAGTAATTTAGAGTATGATTGGCTACCTTTAACTTAACCCACTAATGTGGTAAATTAACCCTTTATTTTTATAATGTTGCCCAAATTTGTTGTAATTTTAACCAAAAAAATCATAAACTCTTCTCTAAACTTATAAATTTATCAAAAATTATGGTAAACTCACCCTTAAATGTGGTAAAACTATCTTATTTGTGGTAAATTGTTGGCTAGACTGAATGGGGTTACGATGGAGCTTTTTCTGAGCTTTCTGTAAGGAGTAAGGACCCGGAGGGCGAATGGTAGACCATAGAGCTTTCCGCCTCTTTTGAATATAAGGATCTTGAGCTAAAGGCTTCTGGAGCACTGACTATATATATATCCGCTATATGCTTTTGGACACAAAAGAACAAAATCGTAGTAGCCTTTTATCTATGGGTTTTCTACGTAGCTACTACTACCCAAAACAAAATTCTTAAGGTTCTACTTGAACCTATACACTTCTTAGGAAACTAAGAAGATGAAAAAGAAAATAGAAAGGTAGAAAAGTAGGAAGGTAGGTCCATCAATCACTCCCCTCATCATCATCACTTCCCTCCTCATCATATGTGGACTCCTCCTCCTCAGTAGTGCTCTCTATGTCCATGCTAAGAGGTGTGGCAAAAATGGAAGTGGCATGAGATTCAGGAGAGGGGGTAGGAGTAGAAATAGAAGTAGGTGTTGCTATTTCTCTTGGCACCGCCTCTCTAGGGAAAGCAAGCTCAAATAGCCTTCTCAACATCTCCATGCACATGTCAACTTACTTACCCTCTGATTCACAGTGGCTTGAGGGATAGGCTCTGTAGTAGCTTCAGTAATAGTGGGAGGAGTGGTCTTGCTCTTGCTCTTTGAACCACTAGCCCTCGATATAGTCGAGCTCTTCCTCTCCCCTACATTACTAATCGAGTTCAACTTAGGAGGTCTCATAGTGTCGGATGCCATCTTTTTGGGTAATCATACTCTCGAAGGGCATGTTCCCCTTCAGCCTACTTGTGGTGCAATAGTCTCTTAACACACCCTAAATCATCAAAGCAACGTCGATCCTTGACCTTGACATAAACTCGTAAAGTAGTACCACCTTTGACATCCCTGGTTGCTTCTCAGATCCCTGGCTACTTCACAATATAGTGGAGGATCTTATTAAGTAAACAGTAATCCCCCAAAAAATGGTTGTGTACAAAAATACCTTTGAAATCCTCAGGGTTCCTGTAGATCTCCTTAACATACTCATCGGGGTCTTTGACAATGAAAGTGAGTGGGGTTGGTCAATCTCGGAAGGATTTGGCCTCTTATAGCTAAGATATTCAACTATAGAGGCTAGAGTAAGATCAATCACCTTACCCCTGAACCTTAGTCCTCAACAACATCAAATCCGTCTCTACTAAATTCAAACCCAAATAAAACTCATGGCACAATGAAAAAATATAACCTTCAATGGGCTTAAAAACTCTCTAGCCCTCTTTCAATGATAATCTAGATTGTTGGAGTTTTACCAAGACTCTCCATATCCATCATCCGCTCACACATCACCCCACGTTTCCCAATCGTCTCTTTATACCCAGATTTATTGGGGTTCTTAGCCACAAGAGGTGCATCCTCTTCCTCCTTCGACCCCGACTCAACCGCCATCTTCTTTTTCCCTTTTTCCTTAGCCGTTGATCACTTACTTGGAGAACCTGTGCCCTTAAGCGACAGTGTTGCCTTGGCTTGGGGCATCATTTGGTCACTCATTGTCCTGGTCATCCCCACCAAGATCAAAGGAGTCATGGAGATAAAGAGAAACAATACTAGGAGTGTGACCTCAAAGACTTCATCTAAAGAGGGAGTTGAAGACAAAAATTTCCTTGGAGCCATTTTCGAATATGAAGAACAAAATGCAATCGAGGAGTGAAGGAAGAGAATTAAGGGTTTAGAGAGCTTCGTTGAGGTATTTCAGAAGTTAGAGAGATGGTTTAGACAAGTGGGCCTCAAGGGTTTTAGGGAATTCAATGATTTCCTACTAATAAGAACCTACAGTTGGTAGGAAGTAACTTTCTACCTACTGATAGTTGAGTTTAGAATTTTAAAAGTTTTTCTTATTTTTTCTTTTTTTATAATTAATTAAAAATAAAAGTAATTGACTCTAAATTTTAAAACTCAAAATATATCCAATTAAAGCCCTAATCACATTCCAATGTGCCACAAATTCTCAAGTATATACAATGCAATTTATCATATAAAATAAAAAATATAATGCAAAGAAATTTGTAGCATAGTAAACAATCTAATAGGATGAAAAATTAAATGCAAAATTAGAAATATAAAATCATTTTCGTAGGTAACACGAATGAATTTAGCCTATACATTAAGCTTTTAAACCCCTAGGTTTTTCCTAGTGGGCGAGTGTTATCATGTGAAAGTTTCCAGAGAAGATACATACAAACTTCAAATTCATCTATCTAGTCTTAATCTTATTATTCCTTAACTACCATGAAATCAAAGACAAACCATATCTACTCAAACTAATGAACACACAATTTTTCTAAAGACTTCAAGGCTATGCAAGAATATTCACCATCATGTTAATACTCAAAACTGGTGTGTGTGTGATATGGTCATACAACTCAAAAGATTTATCAACCCAGATTCATATTCTGATTAGCAGTCCAAAGCTACTTTCAATGCCAAAACTCACCAAGGATTTCATGACTGTTCCACTCATACGTATATGTGAGGATTGATTTATGCAATTAAGATAAATTTTTACTCACATATTTCTCAAAAATTGAAGTGCTTAAGTTAAATGAAATGACTTTGACATAATCTGATGAAGGGGAATATTAAAAGACATATAAGTAATATAGCTGGTATATCTTATAGACTTTAAAGCTTACACACTCAATCATACCTTCTCAATAAACTAAGACTTTCTATATAGCATTTATACTCATATCCCTCATTCTTCCTTCACAAGCCTTTGGTTGTTTTTTTTTTCATTTTTCAACATTCTTTTCACAATTCTATCTCATTTTTCAAAATTTTTCCTTCTTTCATTTCTCATCATCTTTCATTTTCATTCATTCTTGATTGAACATTTCACCTCAACTCCCCACACATATCAATAAACACACATCTAGGGATAACCAAGGTAAGATATATACTCGACCTGGTTATTAATTGAGGTAAAGAAACGAAAACTCATTGTGGCTCAATCACAGATACTAGAGATAATGCAATAAAAGAATAGTACTAAGACTTAGATAGAATTCAAAGATGACCTAGAATCATCTTTCAAAAAGTATGAAAAAGTGTTGCTATTTATTGAGATATACCCAACTAATTACTCATATGCTCCTAATCAAAAACTAGAGTAATGAGATTATTGAAAAATAATGGATTTGAAATGAATATCATAAGCGTAAATATATTATACCCCTCCAACCATGATAAGCACAATACTTATAGGGTTTATACATGCATCTCTACCATGGATGTCAAGCTTTTTCGAAACATAAATCTAATCTCATAAATCTCAATAGAAATTTGCATGTTCGTTGTGAACAAAGTTTGAGTTTCTAATACAAACATCACTATGATATTCAAGCATAGACTACAAGTTGCTAGAGTACAACATGTAACCAATTTGGGTATCATATAGCATATCTAA